GAGGTGTGATGTAGGTGACTGGCAGTGAGGTGTGATGTAGGTGATTGTCAGTGAGGTGTGATGAAGGTTTGCCAACTTAATTCTTGCTATTCTGGGCCCAAAGCTGATGGCTTCTGGCTATTAACTACCTGGGATAGAGCTTGGGTTCTTTTCCTTTTGACTCATGGGCCTCCCACTGGCCAGGCCAGAAGCTTGGAGTTCATTAACTCTTTGTGAGCCAGAGAGAAAAGAAAAGTAAAGAAAAGAAAGAAAGTCAGAGACACACAGAGATGCATGCACACTGGATGAAGTGGAAAAGGGCTACACCAAACCTTTATTTTTGCTTCCAGCATTTTATAATGTTTGTAGACAAAAGTCTTCTATGTAAGAAAAAAATTACCTCATAGATAAAATGTTACACAAAAAGGAAATTACAGAAGGATGTTGATAGTAAACTCAAAGCAGTGTTTCATTCTATAAGATCATTATAAGTTCAAAGCAACAGTCTCACATGGCCTCACTTTATCATGGTGCACACCTGTGGCGTCATCCTTGGACCTGACCTAGGATGAATGTTTTTCCTTGATAAACATCTTCCTTCATCTGTCCCAAGCCTATTTCCCTTCTTAGTGTAATTTATGAAAGCTCATTGTATTCCTTATTATGCAGTCTTTACTTACTATTCTATGAGGAGGGGCACATTCTATTCTTGCTTCTAACTTTATTACATCTTTCTGTCAAAACAACTAAAATTATCTCCTTAAACCTTGTTCCTAAATTTGTTTTCATCAAATCAAGAATTCTATAAAGTCATTAATTCATATAAACAGCATTAACTCATGAAAGTTCATCTTCACATTGATCTACAGGAAATGTGCCCAATAGGGTGGGCTATCACCCACGAAGTAACTGTTAGTATTCTGTCTAAACCCCACCTCCACAGTTACCTGGCAACAGCCAGGCATGCTCCTCCCCACAGTTACCTGGCAATAGCCAGGTAGGCCTGACCCCTATAAAAGGGCTGCCTGCCCCCTCCTCACTCTCTTGGTCCTTCGATTCCTCGCCTGCAGATTCTCCCCTGCCCCCTTCCCCCTTCCCTTCCCCCTCACTCCACGTGGTCATGGCCCGCCTCTACTCCTCTACCTCTCTGCTCTCTCTTTCTCCCCTCTCTCTCTTCCCCCCGCCCTAAATAAACCCCCCCTCGTGGAACCATTTGGTCTGGCATTATCTGTCTAAGCTAAATCTAACAGTAACCATACCAGGCAATAGGCAGTGAGGGTCGCCTGGTGTCCACTCACACCAAGCCACATAAATGAGGCGTGTGGTAATAACAAACATGAGAAAGCACACCTGTAGCAAGAAGCAATCCTGGGACTAAGTCTCTGGGGTTGTGCCTGTCCAGAGTATACTCACTACAGCTGAGCAAGGCAATAGGCCTTCTCCAGGGAGCTCACTTGCCCACTACAGGTCTTCTTGCATGGCGTCTACCAAGCACACACATTTATGGTAGATCTTTCTTCTTCAGTGAAAAATTCCTAGAAATACTCTTATAGCACATCAAGAGGTGTGTTTCCATGGCAATTGTAAGTCCAGTTAAGTTGATAATGAAGATTGTTCATCACAGACAGCAAGCTGATTTTCTGCTCTCCCTTCCCCCTCCTTCTGTTTTCTTCTTTTACATAATCCATTCCTAAGTGCTCTGCCTACATTGCCTACTCACCTTCCAGAGCCCGATCTCCAAATACTATTACATTGAAATTAGAGTTTCAATGTATGAATTTTGTGGGCATGCAAACATTTAGCCAACAACAAGGAAACAACCCTGAGGGGAATTCAAGCACTGGAAATCAATACAGAAGTTGCACCAACATAACGGGGGTAGGGCATGGTCCTGAGTTAGGCTGAGCAGAGACTGTTATACAGATAGGGCTTCTTATCAATCGGCTAATACTTCTCCAGCCTCCAGAGCTTGTTACCTTCCTCCTCACTAGAAGAATGGGTGTGTTCTACAAGCTAAAGGCAGAGAGGAAGCAGGGAGGGGGGAAGGAAGGAAAACCTATAAAGGTACTTACTATGAGGCAGTTGACATGGGGTAAATACTAATTTGTCTGCTCATTTACTTCATTTTTAAAAGATGGTCTCAGTTTATACAGGGTAACCTAGCGAGCTCACTGTGTAGTGCAGCATGGCCCTGGTCTTAAGACACTCCTGCCTCAGTCTCCTAGGGGCTGAGATTATGGAGGTGAGCCACGTCGGGAGCTGCCCTGCTTATACACTAAAAGCCTAAAATCAGCCATAGGTCTAAAGTCAGCAATAGGCCTGACATACATGCCTGCTAGCACCAAGTCTTGGGTCTCTGTGGAAAAATACTGAAACAGATAGCTGGGAGTTATTGTAAACAGCAGCTTTGGTGGAAGGCTGCCAAACCTGGGTACTCATAGGCCTTGTAGATAGGTAACCTTGGTGGATAGTACCAACTTAGATAAAGACAAGTGAATCATAGGCAGAGTCATAGTGGTCTGTCTCCTGAACCTTCACCCAGCTGACACTCTGTTCTGGAAGATAACTGTACTCTCCCTGAACACCTACGCTCCTGCATCATCCCCTTCCCCACATCCTGCCTTTTTGTGTATATAACCTGTGTGTGCAAAAGTAAAATTACGATCTGATCAGATTATAGACAGGTTGTGACTTCCTTGTGTCTTTGCCTGCTCCCCCCGCTCTCTTTCAGGTGACCTCCCTGGACCCCTGTTTGATGTCCTGCTGGACAGGACAAGCCACCATGCTGGGCTTGGGAAGTAAATGTTCATATTACCACTGGACAGATGAGCAACTGAGGCTCTGGGCTTCCCCTGTGCACGTTTCTATAGTGTGTATGGTAGAGCCGAGGACCTGTTCAAATGTCAGAATGTGAGACATAAAAATGTAAGGCTGAGGGGACAACGCAGTGGTGGAGCTCACGCCTCGCGTAGGTAGGGTTGTGAGTTCTACCCCTAGCACCACAAGAAATCAAGATACCAATACAACAGCAAACAGACAGCTCCCTGCTTCCCCATTCCCAAACAATACAATTTAAAATCATAATGTCCTATACAGCTCCAAAGTTTTGTTCCTGTGAAGACCCTTCTGGGGGCAGTTTGGTTTGCTATCTGCTCACATGTGAGGGGAAGAAGGTATTGTAATCAGAAGCAAGGGAAAGATAGCATCAGCTCAACTACGCTCAGCTCAGTGTGGGCTTGTGCAGCCGAGGCTGCACTGGACAAAGCAGGAGTCAGTGGTCCACAGGAGCCTTGAATGGTTACATACTAGATTCATCAGAGTCAGCTCCTGCTCTCCCTTGGAGCCCAGGGCCCCTTCTCCAGAGCTGGTGGATACACACAGTCTTTGGGTAGCCCTGAGTTTTCTCAGGCAGGCACTTTGAGCGGGTAGAGCTATGTCATTCTAAAATGAGGATGCAAACTTAAACAGTGTTCACATTTGCTCAGGTCTCAATGGGCACAGTTGATGGGATTCTTTTAGAAGCAGGCTTTGGATTTGGTAAGAGTCTAGTTAGAGAGCAAGCATCCGTCATTACTCTCAAAACCGAGGAAACACGCTTCAGCAAATAGTTGAGAGACGTGAAGGTGAACTGCCGCAAAGGAGGGTGGGCTGAAACGGAAGCTGATGGTTTCTGAAGGCACTGGGAGACTATGCTGTGGTTTAATGTTGTGCAAATGGTATGTCCTGTCACAAGAATAACATACCACACATATTTGTGATTAAATAGCATGGGGTGGACAACATATGTGCTAATAATATAGCTCGTGCCTTCTTGGCCTCTCTGAGTGACCTAGACGGCAGCGAGGCATGCGCGTGCCCCTTTTTGTTTTTGTTCAAACTCTTCAAGGGAAAACTTCTGTGGGACTGATCACAGCAAATGTTTTTGGGGGAATTATTCATGATGCCCTCACGGTGGGCTTGGCTTCCCTAGTACCAACCCTGTAACAGCAGCTAGTGTGGGTCCCAGCCCTTCTAGACCATACAGCCAGAGGTTTCACAGAGGCTACCAGGGTTCATCTGGTTACCAAGTTGCTTTGGAGGAGTCTGGTATGCAGGAATTTGAGAACTCCTTATTTGGGAGAGCAGCCAATGAAACCAACAGATATTGACCTTAAGACATTCTTTCCCTAGATTATTCAGCATTGTTGTAGAGCAAAAAGTCAGAGCCAGAGAAATTCAGCCTTCATAAAAGCCCAGAGGCTGGAGCTGGAGTCTGCCTGACCATGACAATGGAGTCCAGCTGACAGCTTCCAGGGATGGCTTCAGCATCAATCTTCCCCAACATCTGGCACATACAGAGGAGCAAGATATTAGGGACCATGTAAAACGAGTCTGTTCCTCTCCACAGACAAGCAATGATGTGGAGACAAAGCCTTTAGCCACAAATGATCTGGAATGTTGCTTCAGCTGAAGGCCCCCAGTCGGATTTCAACAATCTGCAGGAGATGACAGAACTTTGCATGTTCCTTTACTGAATGGTTTCTGAAGAAAAGCCGATGAAAAGGAAGGTAGGCTAGAAGGGCTGAGAGCAAAAAATAGCAGAATAGAGGGAGCCTGGGAGGGAGGGGAAGGGAGGACTGTGTAAGGAGCAAGACAGGATTTGGGCAGTTGGTACACAAAGACGGCTCGGAAGGACCAGTTAAGAAGGGACAGGACACAGGTCAGGCTGAGTTCATAGAGCTAGTCTCGGAAGTAAGCCTAGCCTGATTGTGGCTAGGCTGTTGTTCTTGTGCACTCTTGGGGTTGGAGGGGTGTGTATATGTGTGGGGGGAAGCTCTGCCCCAGAGTTTGCCTTCCCTAAAGCCTGTTGTTCCAAGGGTACATGTGGCAGGTGAGAAACGAACTCTTTCCAGGCTCATCCTTCTGTAGTTCCTGGCTCAAGGGAAAGACCTCTGCAGCTGGGAGCTGTTACCCTGAGGAAGGGTGTGACAGTACATCCTGCCCGGAGGTCAAGGGGATCTTGGGAGTATTAGACTTTGGCATCAAACAGACCTGGTCTCAGCCAGGTTCTGCTTCTTGCTAGCTGGGTGACTTTTGGCAAGTAGCTTAACCTCTCTGATTCCTCTGAAGCTCTGGGTGTTAAATGAGTTGCATGTGCAGCTGTTAGAAAAGCATTGTTGGTAAATGTTTTGTTAGTCAAACAGAATATTCACACTTTCTCACTAACCCTAAAATTAAGTAACTCTTTGAACTGGGAGCAGTTCTGTATTTTGCCAAGTGTTTAAAGGTAAAGCAGAAAATGCCTTTACAAATGAGACATGATCCCTGCTTGTAAAAGCTTCTGACTGAAAGAATAGACGGTGTTTACCTCTGACTTGAAAGTTTATCCTGGGATGCTCTGTGAGATGATGGGTTACAGCAGAGCTTCTTACCTGCAATGCACGGGGTATTGTTATTATGGAAGGTGTGGTACTGTTGCTTTTCTTTGTGTGTGGGTTGTGTGTATGTTGTACGTGTGCATGCCCACATGTTAATGAGTACTGGTGCCAGTGCATGTTTCAAGTGTGGAGGCTAGAGAACAACCTGGGTGGTCCTCGGGTTCCACCCAGTGTGAGGTAGGGTCTGCTTCTGTATATGCCAGGCCATGTTAGCTGATTACCCAGCTTCCAGGGATGATCCCACCAGGCCATAAACATGCTGGGAACACACACACACACACACACACACACACACACACACATACACACACATTCATATACACACACATACACACACATACACAGATACACACATATACACACATATACACACATACACAGACATACACAGACATACACACACACACACCACATACAGAGCTGTGCCTGGCTTCATGTGTGTTCTGGGGATTCAAACTCGGGACTTTATGTTTGCAGGGTGAGCACTTTACCCACTGAGCCATCTCCTTAGCTTGGATATTGCTATTTTTTATTTACTTAAAGCAATTCATGGTTATCTCTGTAGTAATGCAAGAGTTAGATTTCTTAACTGACAGAATAATGTATCTTTTTTTTTTCTTTAGGTTTGCTGTAACTTATTCTGTTGCTCACACAACCTTTAGGATAGAGTGGGGATAATTGTTGTGGAGATCCCTAGTTTGGAAGGTGTTAAACTCTTAGCAGATTCTGAATGGACCTGATGTATTTGTTGAGGGGAAGAAGGCAAGTCGTGGTTTTCTGTAGCCCTGTTTTTCCTGATGTGAGTAGCCAAACACAACTACTTTTAACTTGTTCTCGAGTTGTCCCAAAGCTGCTTTGGAACTGGCTACTGTGAAGAGACTGTTGTTTTACAGAGAAGCAAATATCTCCCTTAGGAATCTTAAGTATCGAAAATGGGTTTCTAGAAATCTCTGTCACAATACATTTTCTATCTGTGCCCCAGACAGAATCTTGGTGTCCTGCCCTATTTCTGGGCCTGACTGGAGCTGTGTTCTAGAAGCTTGCTCATAATCCAGATGGACTGCACACAGACTTCTGAAGGGTTGAGGCCACAGGAAAGCATGTCCTCACTGGCAGGGAGGGAGCTTGAGTCAGACAGAGGAATTTTTGCTTCTGAGGAAAGTAGCTGAGGCAGGAAGGAGACAGGAGTTCCTGGGCCCTGAACTAACTAGATTCCAGACCTTGGAAGGTGCCCAAATGCTGTTGTTGTGAAGTTTAAATGAGATGTTACTCACACATGGCTGTCAGTAATGACATCTGGGGAGGGGTGTCAGGAGAATTAGGACCCTGTTCTGATCCAGTGTAGGGTGGGAGCGGGGAGGGCAATCTGTGGGGGTGGGGACAGCCTGAAGGTAATGCAGCCTTAAGCAGAGCTGCCTTTCAGCACTCTGAAGCAGCAGGGGGCAGGAGCCACTGAAGGAAGATTTCTGCCTGGTGCTTACCTCCCCTGCCTGAGGCCTAGGGCCTAGGGCCGTCTGAGCCAGGCTCTGGAGCAGGGATGGGGTTGGAGGAAGGAAAGCATTTGGATGGAGCTAGCCCTAGTTGTTGACTTTGGGCTAGCTGACTGGATGGGCTGTGGGAGAAAGATGAGGTCATACCGAGGGAGGGGCGGCAGAGATAAGAGAGGTGGTGGGGAGAGCGCAGAGGGAAATAGACCAGCCTCCCACTGCGGTCCGTCATCTGTAGAGGACCCACCAGAGTCCTTGCTGGCAGAGACTGACCACTGGCTGGGGAGCCGGGATTGAGAGAACTTTGCATGGATTTTGGGTTCAAGATCGTAGGTATTTTATGAGATGTGGTTAAAAAAAAAATGGGCAGAGGGAGGTCCATCAATGGGCCGATTTCTTTGTGTGTATGGAAATCAATTTCTTTGTCTCACAAGAGGCACAAAAAATAAACTACACCCATTTCCCCAAACTACCCAGGGAAACTCGAAGTGGCAAAAGCTAGGCATGGATCCCAGCAAGACCGCGCTGACGTCTCTCTCATCTCTCTTCTAACATAATAAACTCGGCTGGAGTAAATATTTGTTCTGAAGGACTGTTTGGACTGGATTCCTTCTGACGGTGGGGATAAGGATGGGTCTGGGCCCCTGAGCCTCCTGGCGGCTCTGCTAGGTCCCAGGGTTCAGTGTCTTCGGCCATTGATTCTGCTGGGCAGAGCCCTACAATGAGGTTTCCCCTCCCCCCACCCACCCCCACTTCGCCCGCGCCCCTTCTTGTGGGTTTAGAGGCCCCAGGAATGCGAAGAGGCAGAATGACCTCAGGCATTGTCTTCAGCCCAGCTCCAGGTTCGCTCTTCTATTTCTTTGTGCCTGCTCTTTTCCAAGCTTGAGTGAATCAAACAAGCAGGGGACTAGAGCGGGAGGAAGGAGGCCTTTACCTAGGAGCTTCGTGCTAGCTGGTTCTCAGTTTTCCCGGTCCAGTGGGGCTCCTGGAGCTTTGTTTGCTAGCGGTTTAGAAGAATGGTTCAAAGTAACCGTGTAGCTTGTTAACTATACCCGAAGTCCCGATCACAGGACAGTGTTGTCTCAGCACTGAGGCCCTGGAACTGAGTCGGTAACAATACTTTTGCTTTTGAAAATACACATTCAATCAGATATCAATTGCCATAGAATTGTTTTAATGCTGAACAGAACCCCAAAGATTGTTTCAGTATAACCAACCCTTGGTATTTGAAGAGACTGTGCACATAGCCAGCCAGTGGCAAAGTAGTGCCCAGAATTCCAGTGACTTAACTACTCTAAGGAATGTGCTCCTTACAGCTCATCACCGTTGGTGTCTTTAGACTAATTTCAATAATTTGTTATACCAAAGGAGACAGCATTGGCTCAATAGAAATGCTCACAGAGAAGACAAATTCGCAAAGATAAAGGGTCGGTTAGTGAATTCCTGGGACCAGGGGGTGAGGGGAGGAAGTGCCTGCAGGTGGTCTAGGGTTTGTTTTGGGGGCAGGAGAATGTTTTGGAATTAGTGGCAATGGACACACAACTCTGTTATTATCCTAAACAGTACTTAAGTGCACACTTTTTTTGTTGTTTTGAAAGTGGCCTATGATATATGAATTGTATCTCAGTAAGTCCTGAGTTTGTCCTCTTCCTGATGGCTGATTTCAGGCTACGTACAGGAATGTTGCCTCTTCCTGATTTGGGGGGGGGGGCACTTCAGTCTGTACACAGGAATGTAGCCGTGCACAGCACAGGTTGTGTGGTAAGCCATGAGTCAAGGTCCTTCCGAATGATAAACTTAACATATTTTGGGGGTGGGGTACAAGTGTATTATAAACTTATTGGATTTTTAGCTTCCCTTACGTTTTCTGCTCTACTAACAAAGTGGTTACATAGCAGTCATTCTAATGAAAACTTAGTGATTTCATTCAAAAGCACTGAATTTCCAGATGGTGTGGTGCGCACCTTTAGACCTTTAGGGAGATAGAGGCAGACAGATCTCAGAGTCCGAAGTCAGCCTGGTCTACAGAGTCAGTTCCAGGACAGAATACACAGAGAAACCCTGTCTTGAAATAAATAAAGCTTTGAGTCAAATACTCCCAGCTGACTGTCTATGCCTCTCATACAGTCCCCCTAACTCCCCGGCTCACCCCAGCAGTGTGGCAGTGTGTGTGTGTGTGTGGGGGGACTGTGGGAAGGCACATGAAATCTATCCTTTGTAACACAATTTTAAGTGAATAGTGAAGAATAGCTATCCTGTTGGTTGGTCTGCCCACAGTCTTGTGCAATTCTTTTTATTTTTGTGACTTCCATTGGAATGCTTTTTATTTTTAATTTTCTTTTTTTTCCATTGTTCATTAAGCAGCTGTAAGGATTTACGGTTTTGCAACAGAACTGTGTGCACTGCCTGAGCCCCAGATTTCCCCAACGCTTTCACCCTTCACAACTGAAATGTTGTACCCTCAGAACAGTGGCCCCCCTTTGTCCCTTCCCACAGCCTGGCACTCACTGCTTCACTTTCTGCTCTCTGAAGCTGACTTCAAATGCTTGTGTAAGGGAGGCCATGGTGTAGATGCCTGCGGCTGACTTACTTCAATTCACCCCGTATGCAGTAGTCAGGGTCCAGCAGTGCTGTGGCTGGGGTGAGAATTGAGTTTTAGGACCTAGAAATATTCCCTTGTGTACACAGACCACATTTTCTTTAGTTTCAGAGGCATGTAGTGTTTTTTGTTTTTAAATAATTAATTCAGTTTTTAAGGGTCCTTGTGTAGCTTTGTGAAGCTGGCCTCATAAATCAAGTTTAGAAGCAATCCCTATTTCCAGTTTCTGAAAGACTGTGAAGGATTGACATTACTTCTTCCGAGTGGTTTGTAGAATTTGGCAGGGAGGCCATTTTGTCCCGTGTGGCTGCCATATTGTTTCTGTTCTGCCGGCACTTGAATGTTGACACAGAAACAATTATTATTATAGCTATGAACTTACAGCCTCAGCTCATTCCCAACAAGCTCATATATCTTGACTAACCCGTTTATTCCGTGTTCTGCCGTGGCTGGTTAGTCACCTCTCATTAAGTCCCCGAAGCTGTTTCTTCCTCCTCTTCTAGCTGGTGAATCTCCCATGCTTCTCTCTCCTTTCTCCATTGTCCCTTTCTCTCTTCCAGGAAGTCCCACCTTCTGCTTCCTGCCCAGCTATTAGCCATCAGAGTTTTATAAAGCCAGTTGGAGAATGCCTTAGTAGGTGAGGAAGGACAGAGACATACCTTCATACAGTATACCCCAACAGTCCTGGACTTCTTAGAAAGTTTTTCATGATGAAACCTGTCTTTCTCAGGAGTTACAGGTCCGTTCAAATTTTCTCTTTCTTTCTTTTAGATTTATTTATTTTATATGTTTGAGTGGTTTACCTGGGTGTGTGTACCTGTGGAGGCCAGACAAGGTGGTTGGATCCCCAGGGATTGGAGTCACCGTGGGTGCTGGGAACTGACTACTGAGTCAGCTCTCCAGCCCAGATCTTCTACAGATTTCATAAGCTTGGTTTGATGGTAGGTTGCATATGTCTAGGATTTGACCATTTCCCCTAACCTATTCTACTGCCTGGTCTGCCCACAGTCTCTGACAACCCACTCAATGTCTTTTATTTCTAATTTTGAATCTCCTTTTTCCATTTTCATCAATTTCAACAGCACTGACTCAAAGGCTCACTATTCGTCCTGTTGTCTTCTTTCTCTATCTCAGTCTCCTGTGTCTGACTGTTATTTTACCTGTGCTAACAACTTCCCTTGAGCTTCAAGAGTGTAGAGCTGTGTAATTTCTTTGAGCTTACTTTTTTTTTAATGTAGCCGTTTATGACTGTAGACTTTCCTTTTAGCATGAATTTCATTGTGAATTTTAGAAATCTGTGGGATTTTTTTTGTTGTGTTTTGTTTGTTTGGTTGGTTGTGTAAAGTCCATGGAAAATTACCTCCCCCGCCCCACTCCTTCTCTTCCCAGAAGGGTGAGGCCACAGGGTCCCAAGAAAAACCACAAGATCCCTCCCTTTCCAAAAAGGGTGAAGACACATGGTTCCAAAAAAAACCCTTGGGTTATCAGATGTGGAGCCATCTGACAACAGATAACTCCTCATTAGAGGGTCCCCCACAGCCCATCAATGCCAACTGACCAGTTTATCACCAAAAGCACTTGCCCTGTTCAAACTTTGTATATGCTTCTGCCCAAGTGCATTCTCCGCTGCTTCTTCTCCTGCGTGAGCATGCAGCCCCAATGCACTGTATCCTCTTGCAATCCTCTTGCGATTGCAGCGACTGCCCTGTGAGCGCTTTCTTCATGGGGTCTCGGTAGTGTAGCTGCTGGACTCACAGTTGGTTTTTGTTGTTGTTTTTTTGAGACAGGGTTTCTCTGTATAACTCTGGCTGTCCTGGACTTGATTTACAGACCAGGTAGGCTTGGAACTTCTGCCTTTCTCTGCCTCCTGAGTGCTGGGATTAAAGGCTTGCACCACCACACCCAGCTGTGTTTTTGTCTTACAGTATTTCCTAGCTCACCCTTCCCCCTCTTTGTGAAACCATGACTGTGCTATGTCTTCACTTGGTATTAGGTTACTTGTTTGTCATTTTCTGTTGGTGGAAAACAAGAGCAAAGTGTTTCCCTTTTGTTATTGATATTACTTTAGCCTTCCTAAGTTTAAGGCTTGTCATGTGTTCTAACATGATGTACTCTTCCTGTGTGCTTGAGAAGGTATGTCCACTCTAGTCTGTGCTGGAATGCTGTGTGTATCTGGCAGGCCCATTTGGTGGAAGAGATTGTTCAAGACTTCTTTGTAAAATATAACAGTCTACTTGGGTATTACCCCTGTAGCTGTCTAGTTCTTCCTTCATGCCTGTCAGTGTTTGCTCCCTTGGTCTTGGGGTTCTAATGCTGGGTTGCAGACACTTACAATTATTGTATTTTCCTTGTGCATTGACCCCTTTATTGTTATACAATGTGCCTTTTGTATTTTTAACTTGTTTACTTATTATTTGTTTTTAAAGGTTTTATTAATTTTTACTTTCTGTGAGTGAATGTGTGCCTACTTGCACGCACATGCACCATTGCATCCCTAGTGCCATGGGAGCCAGAAAAGTGCATTGTTGGATTTCACAGAACTGGAGTTACAGATGCTTGTGACCCACCATATGGGTGGGGGCTAGGAACCAATCCCAGGTCCTTTCCAGCCCCTGATTGTTTTGTTTTTTTGAGATAGAGGCTTGCCCTGTAGCTCAGGCCAGGCTGAACTCACTGTGTAGCCCAGGTTAGCCTTGAATTAATCTTCTCAGGTGTGACATAGTTGTGAACTCAACTGCATGACCCAGTTTCAGCTGCAGGAGCATGGTCAACTTGAATAGTGTAGCTCTGGCTTTCTAGTATACAGATGGCTTGCTCTTTCTTGAATGCTTGTCTGTTTTGCCTTTGTCTGTACCATATTTGTCCTTAAATACAACTATGGTAAAAATTTCTGGAAAGGGATTGAGGACATTACTAGAGAAGGAAATGGCTCTGATGCCTATTAGGAACCAACTGTTCTGGTCCCAGCCATTCAAGCAGCCAACTCAGGCATATCAGGACGAGGGGTTCTGGGGGTGGAGGTTGACAGCCTTAATTGTTTTCTGGGAAATCTTAGCCATTTCATGATGATTAAGTTGTACCAGGAAATATTTGACGCAGGAAATGTTTTTGAGAAACCTAAAGTTTTAGTAGTTAAGATAATTGAAGACTCCAAGGAAAAGAAACTCTGGACCTGGGTCACTCAGGACAGGGATGTCGATGAAAAAACAGTGGACAAGATGGAGGAAGAAATAGCTGGGTCTACTGGACCAGTGAGCAGTGGTGAGAGGCCCCACGAGAGGAGATCTCTAATAATAGAAAGTTTGATCCAGAAATATTATTGGGGAAAACTGGAAAATATATGTATGATTAAAAAAGATAAATGATGGTTAGAAGATTTTGGACCCAGTGAGGATGCCGTTGGATTAGTGAGCTGACCTTCCTGAAGAGACTGGAGCATACTGACGTGACCCTGGCATGCCTGCTTAAGGAAACTAGGGTATAAGTTCTAAGAGATAGAATTTGAGTTTGTGAAGGAGCCCTAGAAGAAGCTCCAAGAAGATTTAAAATAGCATATGGGAAAGAATTTGAAAAGTATTGTAGAAATAGATCCTTGGATAAGCTTAATAAAGGGATATTGCAACTTTAGAGAAGTTACAAGTACTAACATTTCCCTGACTTGCTTAGCACCTTTCTGTGCTCCTAATGCTGTAACCGTAAGTTTATCCCCAGATGACTTGCAATTTGGAGGCTTTTCTGAGAGTTAGAAGTTAATGTATAACTTGCCTTAGCTGACACTGAACTGTGACTTCGTGTGTGCATTGTGTTTTCTGGTGGCTTAGTTACTTGGGATTATCAGGAAAAATAATGAGCAAAATAATGAAAAAGCTTTTGATTATGTATTATTGTATAATAAGAAAGTGTGTAACCAATAACAGATTGAGGTGAACTAGGGGGGAAGGGTGGGGTTGTAGGACTACAAGCTGTCCAAGTACAGCTGCTCAACAGCAATGAGTCACCTGCATCATTGCCTGAGACTCTGATTTCACGCAGATCCAATCCTCCCATTCTCGAGAACCCCAAAACAACTGAGGCTGGTCCTCAAATTAGGATCCTCTTGCCTCAGCTTCCCACATGCTGGGATGATAGGCATGAGCCACCATGCCTCGCTTTGTAACTTTTTGACTTGAAGTTTATTTTGTCTGTAGACTGTGGCTCCCATGTAAGTTAGCTGTCACAGTAATAAAATACCAGAGACAATGACCTTAGAAATAAAGGAAGGGCCTATTTTGGTTCACAATTTTAAAGTTTTAGTCTATGACTTTTGGGTACATCATAATGGGTCTGTGGGAAGGAGGAACCCATCCTCCTCATGGTGTCAAAGAAAAGGAGAGGAAAGTGAGATCCCCACAATCTCCCTTCAGGGGATATACCCTCCATTGACTCAACTTTCTCCCACTAGGCCCTCCATCCTAAAATCTTAGTTGTGCCAGGGACTGAGTACATGTGTCCTTGGGACAGTTCAGAGCACACTCGGTCATTGTCCTCTCTCCTCTCCTCTGAGTTCTATCTCCCATCCTTCATATTCAGCTGATGTGTGTTCTTACCTAAAGCAAACCTGTGGGGGACACATAGAATCTTATTGTTTTCGTTCATTGATCTGCCAAGTGTGGCCACTTGTAAGCATTTCTTTGCACAAAGTAAAGGTTTTTCTCAAAATGAAAGAGCTCTAGTATCTTCGTTTTCAGTGTTTATTACATTTGACTTTGTCTTTCTCCTTTATAGAGACAATGTCCCTGACTATTTGACCAGACTGCAAGCCCATCCTGAAGATGTGTTCTACAAACCCGGGCAGCTGGGTCACCTTCGATGATGACTCTACTTTTAGGACTTCTCAGAATAGAAAGGACTTTTCTCTGGAGACTCAAGGTGTTTGCAGACCAAATGGACTGAAGCTAAACCTTCCGGGTCTCAGGGACCTTCCCAGTGCTCCCTCCTCCACCAGAAGCACCCCCCTGTCCTCTCCCATGGTGGACTTTTACTTCAGTCCAGGACCCCCAAGCAACTCCCCTCTTTCTACACCTACCAAAGACTTCCCAGGGTTTCCTGGCATCTCTAAAGCAGGGACACATGTGCTTTATCCTATTCCAGAGTGTTCTTCAGGCAGTCCCCCCACAACAGCAGGAGGAGTAGGTCCCCCATTATCACTTACTAAGCCAACCTGCTCACCCCATGCATTGTTACCCAGTGACCCCTCGCACACTCAGCTGCCTCCCACACATGGGCTTATAGAAGACGCCAGCCCTCAGTGGGTCCAGAGTGAGGCTGGGCAGTTTGAGTATTTTCAGGACGATTGTGCTTTTTCTAACCCATTTTGGAAAGATGAAGGTAGCACTTCTCAGTTTCCCTTTGACTCCCTGGCAAGCAGAAAACCGTTCTCCCCAAGGGACAAGGAGGTACCTATTGATCAAAAAAGCCTGAACCAGTGTTCACTTAACTATATCTGTGAGAAGCTCGAGCACCTACAGTCAACTGAGATCCAAGACCCTCTTGGAAATTTGTCTAGGCAGAGTCCATATGCTGAGGACACAGGCTCTTTTGTCCCACACACCCTCTTCCGGAGTCAGCCCAAAGCTGGATGGTCCTTCATGTTGAGGATTCCCGAGAAGAAGAATGTGATGTCTTCCCGGCAGTGGGGACCCATTTTCCTAAAGGTTCTTCCAGGAGGGATCCTGCAGATGTATTATGAGAAAGGGCTAGAAAAACCATTCAAAGAATTCCAACTCAATCAGTATTGTAGACTTTCTGAGCCCAAACTTGAGAACTTCAGCATGGCAGGAAAAATCCACACTGTGAAGGTGGAACATGTGTCTTACTTAGAGAAAAGGAAATACCATTCCAAGGCAGAGGTGGTTCACGAGCCTGAAGTAGAGCAGATGCTGAAGTTGGGGTCCACGGAACACCGTGACTTCCTTGAATTTTTGACTACTGTAGAAGAGGAGCTAATAAAGCTGCCGGCTACTGCAAAACTGAAGAACAAAAACTATGAGGAACAAGAAATTTACCTGGACATCCTGGACAGCTTCTGGGGTAAAGTAACCAAAGAGGAGGGGAAGCTGGTAGAAAGCTCTGTGATAACTCAGATCTGCTGCCTCTGCTTTCTAAACGGGACACCGGAATGTTTCTTAGCCTTAAATGATCTTGAGCTCCAGAAACGAGATGAACGATATTTTGAGAAAGAACCGGAAAAAAAGGGGATTGATATTCTTAACTACCATTTTCATACGTGTGTAAAAGCTGAAGAATTTGAACAGTCCAGAATCATTAAGTTCATACCTCTGGATGCTTGCCGGTTTGAGCTGATGCGTTTCAAAACTTCGTATGAAGGGGATGAGCTTCCCTTTGCAGTGACGTCCATCGTGACTGTCCAGGGGGCCTATGTGGAGCTGCGGGCCTTTGTCAACATGACCCCAGCAGCTCAGAGGTCTTCCCTGAAGAGCTGTAACAATATCATGATTCATTTTCCTGTCCCAGACCAGTGGATCAAGGCCCTCTGGACCAGGAACCTTCAGAGACAGAAGTCCCTGAAAGCCAAAATGAACCGTCGGGTGTGTCTGGGGAGTTTGCAAGAGCCTGAATCTGAACCTGTTATTCAGGTCACGGTGGGGTCAGCAAAATATGAGAGCGCCTACCGGGCTGTGGTGTGGAAGATAGATCGACTTCCGGACAAAAACTCAAGTAAATATTCAGCACCTAGGGTAACTTCCATAGGAAACTGCTCAGTGTTTTCACCTACATCCTTGGACCAAAGCAGACAGAAACAGATGGTACCCAGAGAGCTGAGTGCTTGCTCACTGGTACAGCCAGGCTGGAGGGAGAACAGCCAAACCGCTGATTTACTCATTTTCTCTAGTGTTTATTTCTACCAAATGAGTTCAATGTCTCCTGCTTCTTTCATATGGAAAGAAATGCCATCCTAGTTTAGAGACTGTCTGTGGTGGTACCAAGGAAATGTTTATAGGAATGGGAAGAGGGGGGAGGAAGGAAAGAGGGAGGGGAGGAGGGAGAAAGGCAAGGAGGGAAGGAAAGGAGGAAGGAAGGAAGACAGGGAAGGAAAGAAAAGGAGGACAGACATGTGGCCCTTCTCTAGCTCTTAAGTAGGGTCATCTCCTTCTCCTGGCTCTCCACGATTGATGCTGCTCCTCACTCTTCACCTGGTGCCTCTGGGCGGCTCCTGGGTTGGTCTCACTGGCTGGGTGGTTGCAGTTCGGTTTTGGTGAGTAGGGGTCACGTGGATGTCTGTGTCTCCCTGCAATCCAGCACAGAGCCGGGTGGAGTTTCCTGGAGGTAATGTAAATTAGTGGAATGAAGGAGTGAAGGGGTGTCCTCTCTTGACACATTCTTGACAATCCAATCAGTTCACACCATAAATTCTTGGACAGATCCATGGTGTATACAACTTGCATTTACAAGAAATGGACAAGCATTGCTCTCACTCTAAGTCTGATCCTTTAGTCCCAGCAACTGTCTCAGCACCAACGAAAAATATCAGTTAGGTTGTCTGTCACTCAGCCCCCGGCACTGGGGGGGGGGGGGGCGCTGGGGGGGGGGCGGCCTCGGGGTCCAGGCGGGCCCATTTTGGTGAAAAGGAGGGCCAGGATTCTAATTTTTGTCTATCATGGGAGATTAAAAAGAGACAAGTAGATTTCAAAATTGATCTATGAGAACATGGTACTAAGACTTCTAAACTGGCTCCCCCAGCACAAGACAGTGGCGGCAACGGATCGCCACGGGGAGGGAGCGGGGATTTAGAAAGGTGATTGCAAGTGAGGGACACTAGCCTTCACCTGCAGCTCTCGCTTCCCCGAGGTCCATTCCTGTTTCTCTGTTACCAGCTTCTTGGTTCTTTCTCCGCGATTTGGTCCTCTGACGTTCATTTTCTTCAGCCCTTAGTAGCCCAGCTTCAGATGTGGCGTATCTTGGGTCAGGAGAGAATGGCTATCAACCCGACCTAAAAGACTGGTTTGCGGTCCCACTCGGGAGCTGAAATTATTCTGAAAGAATAATTTCTAAGGCCCGATAGTGTCCCCTCGTGGTTGGTACTGAGATAGCAGGCTCTTCTCTATCACTTCTAAGTTTGACAAGAAATGTTTTAGGCACAATACCTATTCAACTCAGATCCTGAATAAGAGTGTGCTGGCAAACACTGTAGAGTGGCCAAAAGCCTGACGAAAGACACCAGAAAACTTGAGAGAAAAGTACTTTTACCATCAGCTTTTTAGGAAAGAAGTAGAAGTGTCATTTCTATCATTTTCCCTCCCATTTCATTGGGGAACTTCCTCAAGACTTTTTTTTTGTACAATGTATACATCAAGTTAAATAAACTTCAGTGTCATTTTCAAGTCTAAATCTGAAGAATACACAGTTCCCTGACAGGCAGAGTATAGTCACTGGATATACTAGCTTTAAAATCACTTGGCAAATCAGTACGTTCATCCTGTCCGTAGCACTGCCTCTCTGATCATTAGTTATCCTCACGAGAACCATGTGAGACTCTCATTGGAGAAACTGAGACCCAGAGAGTTGGGTATCTTGTCTAGGACCACACAGCTCTTAAGTCAGGTCTGGAGTTTGTGTTCTCTTTGCAGTAATGGAAGAGAGAGGCTGTGTGCTGAGTGTGAGTGCATCCTGGCTGCTGCCAGAAGTCTAGACAGGATGAAGGACTGTGGGAATCGCACTCATCTCTGCCTCTTTCTCTGTGCAGGTGGGTGGTTGCCTGCATGCATGCCTGCACTCTCACCTGCAGTGACAATCAGAGGCTGCTATTGTACTATCCTCTGTGTTAGTGGGTTGGAGCATCTGCTGGTAACTGATGGACAATATCTGCAGGCCTTTTACAGTGTCAGAATTAGATTAGTCTTTCTATAAGAAACAGGCTACAAGAATGAAAGGTGATTTATCTTTCAAAATAAATTTAGGCAAAGTCTTTTAAATTCATCCTTTTGTGCCTAAAACTATGCTCTGATGAAGATGTTCTTTCTTAAGCTGTATTAGTAGCACAGAAATTTAACCTAGCTTTGGAAATGACTTTTTAAAGTTACATTTATTTAGAGATAGATTAAACTGGATATGACTAGATACTATGAACTATGACCATGGGACACTTGTGAAGTTAATAGAGGGACACATACTTTACTCTTTTGGTTGTTTGTTTCAAGATAAGGTCTCAGGCTGGCTTCAAACTCACAATGTTGCCTAGGATGACTTTACATCCCCCATCCTCCCCCCCCCCGTCTTACACACACACACACACACACACACACACACACACACACTCACACACACTATAATTCTTACTTAAACGTTCTGCACCCAGCACCCCTGGATTTTCTGGATTTTGCACATAGCCTCGTTTAGCACAGGGTAGATCACCGTCCACACGGTCCACACGGTGCACTTCACTGATGATAAATGTCAGACTGACATACTGAAGGTCAGTATACTTGTCTTTACATTGTAATCTGTTCCAGGAGAAGCTTTTCAGGACCACGAGAAGGAATTTCAGTAGTGAAAAAAGTGCATCCCACCAAAACAAAGTATTATATTATATTCCTCCATAACAAAAAGAGCACACCTTACAAATCAGGCTTTTGGAACCTTGTGACCTAATATGAAGTTTATCTTTGCATTATCTAAAAATAAACACTGGTTTAATCAGTGACTGAGGGATTATTAGGGCTCATTTGATCTACTCAGGGAAAACTTTTGTAGGGGCTGAAGTACACTGTGGCCGAATCTCTTTCATATAAATACTGTTCATATCTTTGGCTAGAGAACCTTTGTAATGTTTGTGACTAAAGCCATTTGTAGGAGCTGATCTGTGTGGGCATACAGTGTAATAGTATGAGCTATACTATCCAAGAGCTATAGCTTTCAGCATGGCTGGAGTCCAGCTATGCTGAAGTTCACTAGTGGGATCCTTACTACAGTGAGAAGCATGCTCTAGACTATTCCTTGACCTTTGGAACATCCTGAGCCTGTGTTTTGGTTTCTTCTAGGTCCTGATCAGCCCCATTGTCTGTCATACAAACTAGAGCTTGGATCAGACCAGGAGGTTCCTTCAGATTGGTATCCATTTGCTATTGTCCAGTTTTCCATGTCTGAAGCCTGTGCCTCAAGGACAGAGGTGAGGTCTCTGGGAGTGGAGAGTGATGCCCAGCCTCAGAAGCATGTGTGTCAGCGAGCTTGCTACAACATCCAGGTACCTCAAGTGCCTTGGTTCAAGTCAGGGTTTCCAGATCTGGGGTGGGGCCTGGCCTGGCTATAAATACTTGTTTTGACCCTTAAGAATCAATCTGACTCTGTCTGTCTCCCTTCTTCCTTCTCTCTGATGATACTTGGCAAGGGAAAAGCTCAGAGCTCAGTCAGGGCAACTTAGAGGTCACCGTTGACTTCCGTTGAGAACTCTGTATGTGTGGACTCACTTCTTCTTACTGGTAAAGTTAGTGAGGGGCAGCTGCCACACTGTACCCTCCTGTCTGCCCTGAAGGCCACACATCCTCAAGCAGATAGGAACTGTACTTTAGAAGAGCTTGGCCTTTCCAAGTTCTGTCTACTCTTGGGTCAGCCCCTTAAGGACCACTGAATGTCCTTCTGGGCTCAGTCTGCAGGACTGTTTCCACGTCAGAGCATGGCAGATTTAAAATAAACATGTTGGTGAGAGCCTGATTTTAGAGAGCTTCAGATTTGATTCTAGAAGGAAGATCTGGGGGCTTGGTTTCCACAAAACAGAGCAGAGCACCTCACTATGGAGTGGGTGTGGGGCAGTGGATGGGCCGTGTCTGTGTTCACAGGGTGATCTGGTCAGGGTCTCTCATCAGGATAAACAGTACAGAGAGCTGCTGTCTGTGCCATGTCTACTAACATTGCCAGTGCTCTGTTTTCTTCTAATAGGTTGAAATAGAAAAGAAGTGGATTCAAGTAGATGGAGAAGACCCAGATAAAGCGGGTGGCTGTGTGACTCAGTAAATGATGACACCGTGGGTCAAACACAGAGCCTACATACAGAGCAGGACATCTGCTGCTGTGTGGTGGGACTGAGTAGCAGCCTTAGGCTAGAGATCCAGTGGTGAGTCCCGAAGCTGACCATCTGCCTGTTACTCTTCAGATACTCTGGGATGTGTCTATGACTTGTACCAGTTACATCTTGTTGAAACTTGGAGACACTGCTATCTGACATGAAACCTGCTGGCCAGTTTGGCTGAAGGGTATTTGGATTGGATTACTCAGTGACTTTGTTTTGTAATCTGAGTTATGTGATTCCCCATCTCTTCTTGTTTTCTGTGTGGAACAATTTGAAAGGATGGGAAGAGTTAGGAGATGTGGTTTGTTGGAGGAAGTGTGTCACTGGGGGTGGGCTTTGAGGTTGTAAAAGTCCAAGTCCAAGTCAAGCCCAGTCCCCCCCCCCCTCCTTCTCTCTCTGCCTTCAAATCAAGATGTAGCATTCAGCTACTGCTCCAGCATCATGAGTGCTATGAGGATCTCCCCATCCCATGATGATAATGTACTAACCCTCTGAAAATGTAAGCAAGCCAGGAAGCAGCATCCACCATGGCCTCTGCATCAGCTCCTGCCTCCAGGCTCCTGCCCTGTTTGAGTTCCTGTGATGACTTCCTTTGATGATGTACTGTGATAGAGAAGTGTAAGCCTTTCCTCCTCAGCTTGTTTTTTGTCATGGTATTTTATCACAGCAATAGTATCCCTTACTAGGACTATTAGCTGAGAGTATTTTCATTAGAACATGTGCAAAGTGAAAGAAAATGTATAATTCTAGTTCAACTGTAGAGTCAGAGAAATGGCTTGCCACTCCAGTCTCTAGTGAGGTGCTAGCGGCCTGAGCAGCTGTAACTCTGCCTGCATTGCTTTTACTACTTACCAGGGTAAGTCAGTATCCTAAACCTTATGAAATTTATGTTTTGAGGATTTTTTTTGTTTTTGTTTTTTTTGTTTTAAAGAGTCCTTCATGTTGTGTTAATGTGCATTCGGTTCCTGCTGAGCCTTGTCTGTGACATGAGGCTTTCTTCCCCACACAGGAGGTTTGTTCTCAGTTAAAAAGTTATAAGCAGCTGTTCCAAACCACATTTGCTTGTTGTCCTACAGAATTTATTTCATGCATTTATATTTTGTTACATTCATTTTTATCTATTCAAATAGATTAAAACAAACATTCATGATGGTTTGTACCAATCGGACTTTATTGCTCTCATTATCTTACTGTAAAGGCACAGAAAACAAAAGTCAATGATAAGAATGGATTATATTGCTCTATTTTAACTATGTGATATGTCACTCATAATGTTTGCTTGAAGCTCATTGTTGATGTATATGTACGTTAGTATGAATTTGATTAAAAAATCACCATCATTCCTTATGTTCTGGAGCAGGCACACTTCACTTTAGTCTGCTTGGAACAAACACGGAAACTGTTGAGGAGCTACGCTGGGAAATCCCAGGGAAGTTAGCTAGGTTAATCACACTTTCTCTGAGGTGTTTTATGGCCTCCTGACTATAAAGTACTCACTGTGGATGTAGATGAACTTAATGTGTATTCATATTGCAAGAGAAATAAAACAGAGGGTCCTGTCCAAGGCATTATTCTTCCTGACCTAAAGGTTGGCTAATATGTGTGGGTGACACTGCCAGGGTCTTTAATAAGTCACAATCAACCAGACTTTGGGACCCTCTCAAGCTTAGGTATTAAGGCTGGAGAAACAGCAGACTGACACAAGCCCAAATTGAGTTTCTGGATATCATTAACAGCAGGATACAACTGCATACTTGTTAATTTGCACATCTATTAGGACCACAAATATCCATTACTTAGTGTTAAGCCAACGTCAAGGACGAGTGGCTTTTAAATAAAATCCTTGTGACCTTAGAAACAGCAGGAAGTCAAATGTGACTTCCAAGCCCTTCGTGAAAATTTACTGGGACAGTGTAAGAAGTAAAATCTCTCCCAGGGAAGCCAGCAGTGATCTTCAAAATCCCTACTTTTAAATGAGCCCAGGAGGGAATTCAAGAAGAAACACTCCTTTTAAACATTTTAATTTGGGTAATCTTTTGTGACCACTTTGGAGTCTGCAGACAACTAAGGACACCACCAGTTTATAACCTGTCTTTCTGCCTTCACTGCCCTGGTCTGGTCATCTGGGCAGCTCCGGACTACATTAACTGCTAATGAGAGCATGGGTTGATAGTTACATGATCAGTTATGTAGGACTGAGCATCAGAACACTTTCCATGTCTGTGGGAATGGCTGTTTATCAATTACAAAAGATACGGAAAGGCTCATTTAAAAGCTCTCCAGCTCACTGTTGGGTCTGGTCTGTATATCAGAGAACTGCAGTTGCCTTTCATTCAGGAGCTATGTTTACGATCAAGCCCAGTTCCTACTAAGTTAGACTGTTTTTCTTAACAATGACTGTTACAGTGTTTCCTTAACAATGACTATTACAATGTTTCCTTAACAATGACTATTACAATGTTTCCTTAACAATGACTGTTAGTGTTTCCTTAACAATGACTATTACAATGTTTCCTTAACAATGACTGTTAGTGTTTCCTTAACAATGACTATTACAATGTTTCCTTAACAATGACAGTTAGTGTTTCCTTAACAATGACTATTACAATGTTTCCTTAACAATGGCTGTTACAATGTTTTACTCAGCTTTTGACTTCCTGACCTATTGTTACAAACAGAGAACAGGCTGAACCTGATAATCATGTAACAAAGTATTTTGTAGATTACATATTGATTTTTACAAAATTAAAGATATATTTCAAATGGTTCTTACTGTGCTGTGGTTGCTGTGTACATTTTCTGCAAGGCCTGGAGCCTTTTTTTAAGATGTGAAATCAATTTCAATAACCTTAAACAATTGTCTCTGTCAGGTGTATGTTCACTATTGAGGAGTTTCTGGACATGACATCTCGGCATAGCCTAGAAAATGAATACCAGCAAACTCTATTTGATTGTAGCGTAATGGATAATTAAGAAAAAAAGATTGATTTCATTATTTATCTATGTATGTGTATGTGCACATGAGTGCAGTGCCTGCAGTGGCCAGAAGGTGTGTTGCATTTCCTGGAGCTGAAGTTTCGGGCAGTATGAGCTGCTGAGTGTGGGTGCTTGGGAACTGAACTGAGATACTCTGAAAGAGCAGTGTGGATTCTTAACTTCTGTGTCATCTCTGTAATCCTAATGATTTTTTTTAAGGAGATATAATCATGACACAAAAGAATATAGAATTAACCTGAGTGCCTCTTCCCTGAAGACTGGTTTTCATAGTACCAGAAGGCACCATACAATCTTCCAAAGGAGAGAGGAAATCAACAGCTCTACTTAGCTAAGATACCTAAGACCATATCAATAACCCTCACGACACGGTAACCCTAAGGGTTCAGCAGTGATATGCATGTCTTAGCTGTAACCAACAGCTCTTTTATTGTACTTAAAATCTGCTCAACAAGAGGGAAATCATGCCCAGTACTGGAAACCTAGCTAAATACTCTGTGCTGTTGAAGTCATGGATATTTGAGAAGAATCTATAACCACTATGTTACCGAATCATCATAATTCAGTAAATATTTTAACAAGCATTTGTCTTAGTCATTGTTCTATTGCTGTGAGGAGACACCATGACCACAGCAAGTCTTTTTTTTCCCACCAGAGAGTTAAAATATTTAATGACAAAAATCTGAGTTGCTAGAATAGTGAACCAACAAAACAGCTGTTAACTTGTCTCTGAATGAAACAAAAATGGTACTCAATATCATAGAGAATTTCTGAAAAACCAAGAACAACACACATGAGCAACACCACAATTCTGAAATTAGGAGCGAAAGCTATCTTAACTAGTATCTCTTATTTAGGGCACTCTGTAACTGTTTCCACATAAATGCATAATCTTTGCTAGTCACAATAGTATAAAACAGATTTCACTATAATTTTAAATCTAACACATAATATTACTTCTACCAGACCTTAAAAAAAAGTTAGCTACTGATCTTGTTACATTTTACAAATACATTCTTTAAAATGAAACATCAACTTGAATAACTGCATAGAGCCTGGACATAGATATCTAATCATTCTAGTGAAGAACACTACAGCTACATTCCAGGAAGAAGTGGAAATGCTGGCACGTTCCTTTTTTATCACAGCAACTCTTATAAAGGAAAACATTTAAGTGGGACTTACAAGTTTAGTCCAGTATCAGCATGGTGGCACACAGACAGACCTGGTACTGAAGAGGCAGCTGAGAGTTCTACCTCTGCATCCCAAGGCAGCAGGAAGAACAGACCCTGTGAAACTGACTTGGGCTCCTGAGACACGGACAAAGAGACAGACAGAAACAAGTCAGAAAGATTCTAAGAGTGAGAAAGGCAGGGAGTTCACAGTGAAATTGCTTCCCAGGAACATTGACGCTGCACCCATACAGTCTTACCAACATGGCTGCCCAAATATGAGCTGAACACAGATAACACCAATAAATATGCCAAAGTGGGCAGAGAAAAGCCCACAAAGGCTCACCCTTACACAAAGAACCACAGGCAACTGAAGAAAGCTGGGATTAGGAAACATACATACCATTGGCTATTGAACATGAGCTGATCAACCCTAAAAACAGACATACAGCAACATTATGTTGATGGAGGTTATATTTAGTGATATATATTTATATGCATATATATGGTATAACAACTAATGAAAAAGAAAGTCATGAATTTGAAAGAGAGCAAGAAGGAATATATGGGAGGGCTTGGAGGGAGGAAAAGAAAGGGAGAAATGTTGTAATTATACTATATTCTCAAAAAGAAATACAAATAGTGATGATATAAGAATGACCCATAGGACTGTGAAATAAGCATATGAATATGAATAAAATATGAATTATATTTAACTCATTAACTACTGAGGGAACTGTTGAGATGTAATATAAATGTGTTCAAGAAGCATTGAAGAACAGAGACACATAGAAAGTAAGAGCTTCTGAAACAAAGTCACAAAAAGATACTAAATCAGTGGTTCTCAACCCAGGATTATGATCTCTTTGGGAGTCAAATAATCCTTCTACAGAGGTTGCATGTCGGATATTTATATTATAATTCATTTTTTTCTTTTAAGATTTACTTATTTATTTCATGGATGTGAGTACACTGTCACTGTCCTCAGACACACCAGAAGAGGGCATCGGATCCTCATTACAGATGGTTGTGAGCCACGATATTGTTGCTGGGAATTGAACTCAGGACCTCTGGAAGAGCAGTCAGTGCTCTTAACTGCTGAGCCATCTCTCCAGCCCACATTACAATTCATAACAGTAGCAAAATTACAATTATGAAATAGCAACAAAATAATTTTATAGTTGGGGAGTACCACAACATGAGGAGCCATTTTAAAGGGTCGTAGCCTTAGGACGGTAGAGAACCACTGTGCTAATGCTCCGAGTCTCTGCTGACAATGGCCAATAATTCCTCCTGTCCTAACACAATTAATTTGCCTTTCTGTGGACTAGCATCGTGTTCATTTATATCAGTTTTCTTCAATTTACAGAACTGATAAACAATTCTAAGATAAAGTGTCCTGTTTAGGGTTTGTTTTCTTCCCCACCCTAACATAAGCTAGAGCCATCTGGGACAAGGAGCCACAGTTGAGAAAATGCTTCCATATGACTGGGTTGTAGGTAAGTCTGGGAACATTTTCTTGATTAATGACTGACATGGGAGGGCCTAGACCACTGTGGATGGAGCCACTTCTGGGCAGGTGACCTTGGGTTGTGTGAAACAATCAATCTGAGCAAACCATGAGAGCAAGCCAGTAAGCATCACTCCCTCCCTCCCCCCACCCCCCCAGCTCCACGGATTGGCTCCTGCTTCCAGGTTCCTGTCTTGAATTCCTACCCTAACTTCCTTGGAAGATTGACTGATTGGGACAAGTAAGCCATGTAAACCCCTGTCTCCTCAGGTTGACTTTGGTCTTTGTCTTTGTCACAGCAATAGACACCAAACTAAGACCTAAGAAAAAGTGTTGATGGCCTCAGTGAATGAGCTCCAAAGTCCTTTTGTCATTTTTTAATAATTGAAAATTACATTTTCTTTATGTATTTTTTGTCTCTTTCTGTTTCTGCATCTCTGTCTGTTTCTATCTCTCTGTCTTTTTGTCCCTGTCTCTCTGTCTCTTTGTCCCTGTTTCTGTCTTTGTGTCTCTCTGTCCTTGTCTCTGTCTTTCTATCTCTCTGCCCCTGTTTCTGTCTGTCTCTGTGTCTATCTTTGTGTCTGTCTTTGTGTCTGTCTGTCTGTCTCTGTAAGTGTGATGGCAGATGCTTTTACTGTTGGGCCATCTCTCTAGTCCAACAATTTTTTTTTTGACAATAGGATAAACTTTGTCCACAGAATGGAGAAAGTTGTAATATACAAACAATGTGTATTTTAAAAATTCCTCTCATCCCTCATATTATAAAAAAGTGGATATTTGGCCTCCCCTTAGCTACCCGCCACCCTGTCTGCGACCAAGCTCTGGGCAAGCCAGGCAGCAAGCCAGGCCAAGCTGCTGCTCCATCCTTCCAGCGTGCTTTTTGCATTGTTTGATGTTTGGGTTCAGTTAAACTTGGGACCCCTACGAAGAATGACCTGTTTGATTTTGTTATTAGTTTTTTTTGTTTGCTTCCAACATGGCAGCCTCCAGCCGCACATAAGTTTTGGATTTGTACGGGGCGATGATGAGAGAGAGAGAGCAAGCATTTCAGTGTCTACAATTACAGAATGTATGCTGTCAGGAGAATAAGAGATGCCTTCCGAGAAAATAAGGATGTAAAAGACCCCGTAGAAATTCAAGTCCTGGTGAATAAAGCCAAAAGAGACTTTGACATAATCTGCAGACAGGTCCATATTGGCCAACTGTACTCAACTGACAAGCTTGTCATTGGGAATCAAGAGAAGCCCAGGACATAGGAACCAGCAGTAGGAAACAGCCTCTGCAGCAGAACTGACCTCCTTCAGCATCCACTCTATGTGGTGGACCCTCCCACTGTGGGCTGAAATAGCCTCTTTCTCTGCCTGCCTTGTAGGAGCTGATAAACTGAGTCACGTTTGCGTTCTGTCACAGCTGTTATGTGAAGAAACGGCTGTGCACCCTCAGTTCAGGTGTTAGAATGAAGAGCTGGAGGGCACTCAGAATAATGCTATGGTTATCATGTCTCCTCGCCATCCCACCGCATCTTAAAGGTATAAAGGCTCATTTGTATAGAGCTCTTGCAGACTTGGTGTCTTGGTCCTTAACAGTAAACATACGTATCTCTCTATCCTTTTGTACCAAATAGACCCATTACAATGAAAGAGAGAGAGAGAGAGAGAGAGAGAGAGAGAGAGAGAGAGAGAGAGAGAGAGAGAGAGGTATCTGATGAATTCAGTTTTTATTTAGCTCTTAAAGCTGATATCTCAAAACAGCATATGAAGGATGGTGATATGGTTCAGTGAGTAAACAAATGTGAAAAACCCAAAACAAAACAGAATTGCGCCAGCCCTTCATGGGGACCAGGCTGCAGAGCATTCGCCAGCCCCTCATGGGGACCAGGCTGCAGAGCATTCGCCAGCCCCTCATGGGGACCAGGCTGCAGAGCATTCGCCAGCCCCTCATGGGGACCAGGCTGCAGAGCATTCGCCAGCCCTTCATGGGGACC